ATGAATCTTGTTGTACCTTCGATGGAATTTCACTAGTCTATCCCACACTCGTTTGAGTTTCTGATTGACACTATCTATGTGGTTTTTGGAGACCAGGTATTCCAACAATCTCTTGGAATACCCATGGGTACAAATTGCGCCCCGTTATTAGCAGAACTTATTTTTATATTCATATGAAGCAGAATTTATGAAAAATCTTATGCGTGAAAAGAGGAAAACACTTGCTGTGGACTTCAACTCGACATTTAGATATATCGATGACGTATTCTCAATTAATAATGGTAATTTCCATTCCTGCGTCGATACGATATATCCTGGTGAGCTTGAGATAAAAGATACCACAGAGTCCGACACTTCTGTTTCATACTTGGATATTTATTTTACTTGAAAAAGACACTAATGGTAATCAAACAACCAAGCTATATGATAAACGTGATGACTTTAACTTTTCTATCGTCAACTTCCCTTACTTATGCAGCTACATGTATATACCTTCATCACCTGCATACGGAGTTTATATATCTCAGTTGATTCGATAAGCAAGAGCATGCTTTACGTATAAACAATTTCTAAAACGAGGTAAATTATTGACAAATCATTAAAAAGCAAGCTGATGAAATATGAATATCAACAGTCTCGTTAAAAGTCATCATTTCGTAAGTTTATGGTCGGTATAATGATCTTGTCAGCAAATAAAATTTATTATTATATGATTGAATGATTTCCATCTCTATGATTGGCTGAGATCCGACTATGTTAGAAAAATATTACGTTGTATTGACCTGCACGTGACGATCCAGGTCAATACAAGGATTTATTTCCTCTACATTGATCTAAAAATAGATCGGGAAATTCCAAATTGATACAAATTGTTTTGGAAAGCTATTTAAACGACTATGTTTTTTTTTATGTGAACAAAACATAAGCAAATATTTATTTTCTGGTGAGGGTGGTAAGAGGGGATGCAAAGACACCCCATCAACACTTTTATTGAACAATTTTTACTGTTTGGCAGTCAGTTTTCCCAGATAATACTCCTTCTTTCAAATTCTATCCTATGTAAAAAGACTGACATTACATTTTTTTTTCATGGCAACTAAAATTGATAAAAAACTTTACGACTGGTAAGGTTTATTTACATTTAGATTCTGCTTCTCTTTTGTATTTGGCTAGGACTTAATTCATTGCAAACAAGTAATGGGCTTTATCATTTTATCAGTGAATCATATATTAAAACAATTATTGCTGTTTTTCGATCAATACAGTGATTAAGCCATCTTCGAAGAACAATATTCACCTCGCCCTTCGGGCTCGGTGAATATTGTACTCCTCAGATGGCTAAATCATTGTATTGACCTCAAAAAGCAGCAATAATTATATATCATTGCCTGAGTCCAATGCACATGACGCTGAAGAATGACGTCCATGGATATTTTACTAAAAACTGATGACAGAGCATCCAAAGAAACATACTAACAATCCAAACATTTCTTTTTTTGCGAAAAAATCATATGCGCCGATAATTCATCTGCACTGATATGTATTATACCGTAATGTGGCAATTTTAGAGGTATTGGGTTTTGAAAAAAATAAACGTAGTAATTAATTTCCAGACCAACCTAGATGGTTAATTTTTCTAAAATTTCACATCTTGATGACTTTTTACATTAACTTCCATTTACTCGAATGAAAAAGAAATCTCTATTCAGAAATTTAAAAATAAGGAAAAAATGTGATAATTTGGCGCTTTTCCATCAAATTTCCATATGGTCCAACAGTAAGATAAAACAACTTCCCAGAGGCTATCCAAGTCCAACTTGCCCTTCATTGATAAACATATTTTGTTTTTGCAATGATGGTTTTCACTAAGAGCACGGAATTAATTAGGTGTTGTTTTTTTTTTTTTTTTTTGGAAAATATGTGCATTTTAAGAAGATTTTTTTCTCAATTAATTATTATTCCAAGTATTTTTTTTTTATCAAGTGATACTTTCTATCTGTTAATCACTGAAAAATTTATAAACTGTAAATGTTTTAACTTAATACCTCACATATTTTTGGGGCTATTGTAAAAATAAGTTTTTGGATATGTTGACCTTTGACGAAACCTTAATATATATATAAGTTGTTCGCGCCAATTAAAGCTGCTGAAATATGAAACCCGCTTTTTTAAGTATACACTGTACATACAGTAATTCAGTGCTAATTAATTTTTAAGAAACTTACTAAATATGTTTTTTTTTCCCTAATTATATCTGTTTTCGTGTTATAGTTTATTATTTTAACTATTGATTTTGATCCAATGTTGTTGAACTGAACGTGTTGAGCTTAACACCTAGAGTTAAATGTGTTAAGAAATGAGCCATGGTTAAAGCTAATGGTGAAACAATAAAGTAAAACAATTTTTTCTTTAGTTTTGTGTTAAGGATCTAAACACTTTTTTTTTACAGTGATATCCTTTTATCTACAATTGATATCTTTTTTGAAATTTGAAATAAACAAAGTTGTTAAAATAAACGCCCTCTAAAAACTTTGGTTCGGTATACGTTAATATTTATTATGACATTCCCAAATGCTTGGCACCACTTTCCTTCTTGAATTAATCTTTGAAACTGTCATTCGTGATATAGACTTTGTTATAAATAATTAAAGGGGTTTACACACTCTTAAGGCTTTGTTTTATTTTAGATACATAAATAAAGAATATTTTTCTTACCGTATTACTAGCTGCTTTTCGGCGAATTTTGAACAAAATTTCAGCTCTGTCTCTTAAATTGTAACAGATAACGGGAGATTCTGCCGAACTTTGTGTGTGTTTCCTACTTCTCAGAAACGGAAATTTACATGTATATTAAACAAAGTGTTTATTATAAACTCTCACTCGCGTGCTTCTGAAAAATATTTTGCAATATAACATGCAGCCACTTTAAATTTGAACAAAATAACGGCAAACTACGGAATTCAATTTTACATAAACCAGAACTTAATGACCTACCTCCCAAAATATTTCTGAATTCCGCATCATAAATTAGATACAATTTAACAAATTGTTGATTTTTTTCTTTTTGGATATATATATATATATATATATATATATATATATATATATATATATATATATATATATATATATATATATATATATATATATATATATATTTTTTTTTTTTGGGGGGGGGGTCCAAGGTCCCTTTTAGTTGGTTTAGTTTATTTAAGAAATAAATAACAAATGGGAATTGAAGTGGGTCGGTCACGTGATCAAATCCTGTGAAGGCCGAAGGCCTTCTCAGAAGATTTGATCACGTACCGACCCACTTCAATTCCCATTGAAGTTTATAAACTTGTTATTTATTACTTATATATACATTTGAGACTGACAATTGAATATATTCGAATCTAAATTATTGCACTAACCGTCCGTCGTAGATTTTGAAAAATGACGTAAGGTGTAAATCGGCTTGCATGGCGGTTAAGCTTCGAATTCATTAGGCTAAGTTTAGTAAGGAATGTATTTCGAAGGGAATGTTTTGTGAAAGGCTATTTGTAATCAATAATAGTGAACAGATTGTTGTCTGGGAATATTTTTATTTGTGAAAATTGATAATCGATTCTGAAAAGACACAAGAAACACGTCCGAAGTCTGATGATAAACAGTTGGAGGATTTTCGGTCGCCGGAAAGGGATGGATGGATCCGATCCGATGGATTGAGACACTTGTCCGAGCCAGTTAATTTGCAATTTGATCAAAAACATTCTACGATTTCAGTAACTAAAGGCATACTTATCGTAAAACACTTATAAACACGGAGACACTTGCGACAGCTTTACATTGAACTACGAAAACGCCGAGGTGTTTGGCAGCTGTTCATGGCATGATTGCAATGATATTTTCCAACAGATTTACGCATTTATCGTGAGTAGAATTTAAAGATAAAATAAAAGTTTATCATGAAAATTTAACCAAAGGTCTACACAAAAAATAGGGATGAACGTTAGAGACTGTGCAGCTGACAAAAGTGAAAAAAATGTTAACAAACTCTAGACTAGATTTCTCTACGTACACAGGTTGAATCGATAGCCAAAAAACTGTATGAAATACTTGTTTACATTGTAAATAAAATAATTATTATTTTAATGGCTTATTTTGTTCATTTTTATACAGGAAAAGAAAGTAGAGCAGGTCATTTTATCATTTATGTACCGGTAGATATTATTGCGCCGTGTGATTAGGCCACGTATTGACCTCTGACCTCTGACAAACTTCATACAGAATTGAAGATATTTTCTCTCTGTATGTTTATATAATGGAGAGATACCACAAATGTATATATTATAAATTAAATAACTCTCAGTTGGTTTAGTTCTGTACATTATATAACTTTACAAATCTCGGAGGGTTGGTCCAGACACCTTTCTCTCTCTCTCTTTCTATATATATATGTGCTTGTAAAGCATAACTTATTTGTATAAACAAAGAAATAAAAATCTTTACCTTAAGAAAATGTTCACTATAAAAAATAACGAAAGCCCATTGAGCTCATGTGTGTGTGTGTCAGTGTGTATGTTTGTTTGTTTATTGTTCAATTCAGGGAGCTGCCGAAAGTTCAATCTGTTTTAAAATAGGCCATTGTTAGTTATATCCTTTGCTTGCTGATGCTGATCCTGGTAATGCTGTTTTTTTTTTAATGTTGGTGCTAGCTCTATCCTGATGCTATACTTATGCTTATGCTGGTGCTGGTTTATGTAACAAAAGTTCCTTGCACTGTATATATATGGAATTCCATATTTTTCCGATTTTTTTTATATATTTTTTAATTGTATGATCCTTAAATTAATTAATATTTATTTTTTTATTCATTTAAAAATAAATAGATTTATTATTAAGTTCATTTGATAATTTATAGTCCCTATATAATCTATACAAGCGCATACACTTTTTTGCAGATTGTCTAAATATCATCGGGATCGAGATTCCTTTATTTGATAAACATATGAATACATTCGAATTTTCTCTATTACATTCCAGGAATCATTCCATGGTTCTTATCACATGAAATCATGGACGATGGTAATGTATTATGCTGTTGTTGGGCTAGAAATAACTTTTCTATTTTGCGTTTAGTAGCGTCTTAGTTTCATTGTAATAAATAACATATGACCGATTAGCTTGGGGGTGTCCACACTGTGGCTCGAACCTACGACCCTCAGATTTAAAATCCAACGCTCTACCGAATGAGCTAAAGGGTTAACCCACTAGCTAGTGCTAGTAGGAGCGTGGCTTCACTATTTACAACACAACACCTTGCCACTTTAAACTCTGTTACACTTCCCCCTTCTTTTTCTTGAGATTTCTTACCCCCTAAGAAATCTCACACACACGAGACTCTAAACACCATTCACCATGTGGGTTTTTTAGTTGGGCGCCAATATGACCGATTAGCTTGGGGGTGTCCACACTGTGGCTCGAACCTACGACCCTCAGATTTAAAATCCAACGCTCTACCGAATGAGCTAAAGGGTTTACCCACTAGCTAGTGCTAGTAGGAGCGTGGCTTCACTATTTACAACACAACACCTTGCCACTTTAAACTCTGTTACAAACATATTTAAACAGAAATGTCTGATTTAAAGGTTTCAACTTGTACATGATGTATGCTGGTATTGATAGAATCTACAATTACTAGATTTAGCTATGTAGCTTGAATTACCTTAATGTGCTTTATTTACCTACCCAAAGCAGCTATTTTCAGATACACTCTTCTAAATTAAACTTAATTCTTACTCAAGAGATGTATGTAAAACACTTATGCCCCCTCCCCCAAAATTGAAATTTTTTTATAAGTCCAAAAGGGCATAACTTCGTCATAAATGGTGTGAACGTACCCAAAACAAACTTAAGGTAAGATCTAGTAAATGAAAGATGCCTACAGATTTATCAAATTTGAGAAATTCAAATAAATTCCTTAAATGACGCTTTATAACCATGATAACTTTAGCTTGGTCAAATATGGTGTTTCGGGGCATAAAATTGTAGATAAACAAAATGAAAAATCATATTTTAAACTGTCATTTTTAATTAATAGTTAAAAGAAAAAACAGCCATGAATGTGACAGTTTTTTCCCATTTCAGACATAGAAAATGTATGCAGATTGCCTACAGTTTTATAGAAAACAGTAATTTGTATATTCTTGGCGTCTTCTTTTCAAAAATGTCTGATTTGATATAGGTATTGGGACTACTTTTCATGTGATTTTAAATTAAATTCCATGAAAATACATTATTTCTAAATATTAATTCTATTAGAGCCGTAAAGTATGGGAAAAAAAGTTGAGAGTGATTACTGGTATATATATTTATTATACCTCTGTGAATTTGTTCTATATAAAAATATAACGAATAAACATGCTATCTTTTCCAAACAGCCCCTACCATGAAATAGTTTTTGTGCTATCTGCCCATGGTGAAATAGTCATCAAACTATTCACCGGAAGCATTCTGTTTCCCTCGCTTTTCATATCGGAAAACTTAAAATTGATATTATAGGGATTGTGACGTATATATTATGACGTAACAGAAGTAAAGTTAACATCGGTATAATAAAACACCTTTTTACTGACTATTTGGAAAATAGCAAGTTTATCTTCCCCCTCAACAGCAAACTATTTCCCTCGGCAGCGCCTCAGGAAATAGTTTGTTGTCTTGGGGGACGATAAACTTGCTATTGTCCTCATAGCCAGTAAATAAGTGTATAATAATAAATTTCATTTCAGTATTTGCAACAGCTCTGATGGAAATGAACTGAAACTGCAAATATAATTGGTTTTTTTCTAAGTCTAAGGGGCATAGCTACTTGGCGCGACCATACCCAAAACAGAACTTGACCTAAATATTAATCTGATATATCTGTATACCAAATTTCATTTCAATATGTGCAACGGTTGTAAAGAAAATGAATGGAAACTTAGTGGACTGACAGACCGACAGGCAGCAGCAAAACAATATGTTCTCCCTTCTTCAAAGGGGCCGTGACATAATTAGATTTTTTTTACCTACCCGAAGTTGCTTTTAAAATCAGGTTATAAATCAATTTAATACTTTTTCTAAATTACATATTTTCTTCAGAATATGCAGAAAATAGGACCTTGATGCATTGATCATTTTAACCTTCAAATCCCCTGTAAAAAATAAATGAAAATGTCTGTCTTCACTTGAAAATGAGTCTAAAAGTTTTGAGGCTAAATACAAAAGTCAAACAAAACATTTAGGCCTACTTCTTGAATGGAATAACAAAGAAAACCAGTTTAGGTTAACATGATAATTAATTCATAAATATGTACTTTTGCAAATGTTTTCCTTTTCATAAGTCGTAACACCACTGAAATCAATTCATGGTATCACCATACAAATATAGGTTCCTTGAACGTCATAAACATTTGACGTAATATCTCAGTGACATCATAAAGGGTGGATGGCATTCAAGTTTACTGTTGTATAAATCTATGAAAAAGAAACATTCACGCATTAAAAGTCATAATCAGGCAAATAGAAAATATGAATAAGTCACAAATGAAAATAGAATTAATAGTATCATTGTAAAACATCTCATAGGCCATAAATACAGGTAATTGATTACAAAATTAAATTAATGAGTAGATGCACATGCAATATGCATTGCTATGCACATGTGCATAATATATAAAAACATGAGTCTGTCACAGTAATCATAGTATTTATAATTCAGGCTTTTATTGCCCTCTCTTTCTATATTTTAAAAAATATGTGGGTTTTTTTGAAAAAATTATTGTCCAATGCATGTATAAGGCCAATTTTTTTTTTAAAATTGTTCTTTTAGAAAAAAATTTCCTAACTTACCTTTTGATCCAATAATTCTTACCCCGAGTAGAGAGAGGGACAAACAAATATTTATATTCTAAATATGGCCTAATGTGATTTATTTTGTTTTCTTACAGATGAAGTTCCTCCTCTGGAGGATATGTCAGAAATCTTACAACAAGCAGAGGTCATCAGGTCAAAGGTGAATAGTTCACAGGGTAAACAGTCTGTTGACCCCAGCCTCAGGAGAGCAGTTCCACAGAATGGTCAGGATACTAAGGTAAGGAGTGTTGCAGATACTGGTAATGGACATCTGGCCTGGGGGCCATAAAACTTAGACGAGCTCACTTTTGATCTCGGTCTCACTTTTCCACTATATATTCCTTTGGTAAAAGTGAGACTGAGATCAAAAGTGAGCTTGTCTAAGTTTTATGGCCCCCAGGCCAGATCTTCCATAGAAATATAAACTGGAAATGATTTACATGTAATGTATCATTCCCATTGACAACCAGTCTGTTAATTTTGATGCAAAGATGATTGATTTGGGTTAAGTATTAATTGTCTTTACAGGGCAGAACCCTATAGCTATTTAATAAATATAGCTATAGGGTTTTGCCCTGTAAAGACTCCCTTTAATGAAAGTTACAGCTAGGTTCGTCATTAGCTTAGAAAACTGAGATAAAGAAATCTAAAATTTGAAGGAAGGAATTTCTTAAACTAGTTTGTGGCAATTTGTTCTAATTTGCATCTAATTTTTCAGTAATTGAATTTATTCTATTGAGATTTACACCATGTATAGGTACATAAACTAAGCTGAATACTAGAAATTATAAAACAGCAACTTATAAATGAAAGAAAAATATGGATTTTTATTTTTGTAGAAACCAAAAGAAAAATCATCAGATACTCAAAAGGTGAAATCAGTTGAGAAAAATGTGAGCAGTACACCTTCAAAATCTTCTTCATCCAGTTTTGGGGGGTTCAAAAAAGGATTTTTATTCGGAGGAAACAGTTTTTCAAAGTCAAACTCAAAAGCGACGAGTTCGTCTCCCTCCGGATCAGGTGCCAGGAGTTCATCTGACCTTCCTTATATAACAAAGAAGTCTACCAGTGAAAGTCGTACACTCCCAGAGGTTCAACAAACATTGTCTGCAGAGGCTCAGAAAATAGCACAAAACAAAGGTAAGATGACTGCAGAGGCTCAGAAAATAGCACAAAACAAAGGTAAGATTGTCCGTAGAGGCTCAGAAAATAGCACAAAACAAAGGTAAGATTGTCTGCCGAGGCTCAGAAAATAGCACAATTCAAAGGTAAGATTGTCCGTAGAGGCTCAGAAAATAGCACAAAACAAAGGTAAGATTGTCTGCCGAGGCTCAGAAAATAGCACAAAACAAAGGCAAGATTGTCTGCCGAGGCTCAGAAAATAGCACAAAACAAAGGTAAGATTGTCTGCCGAGGCTCAGAAAATAGCACAAAACAAAGGTAAGATTGTCTGCCGAGGCTCAGAAAATAGCACAAAACAAAGGTAAGATTGTCCGTAGAGGCTCAGAAAATAGCACAAAACAAAGGTAAGATTGTCTGCCGAGGCTCAGAAAATAGCACAAAACAAAGGTAAGATTGTCCATAGAGGCTCAGAAAATAGCACAAAACAAAGGTAAGATTGTCCATAGAGGCTCAGAAAATAGCACAAAACAAAGGTAAGATTGTCTGCCGAGGCTCAGAAAATAGCACAAAACAAAGGTAAGATTGTCTGCCGAGGCTCAGAAAATAGCACAAAACAAAGGTAAGATTGTCCGTAGAGGCTCAGAAAATAGCACAAAACAAAGGTAAGATTGTCTGCCGAGGCTCAGAAAATAGCACAATTCAAAGGTAAGATTGTCTGCCGAGGCTCAGAAAATAGCACAAAACAAAGGTAAGATTGTCTGCCGAGGCTTAGAAAATAGCACAAAACAAAGGTAAGATTGTCTGCCGAGGCTCAGAAAATAGCACAAAACAAAGGTAAGATTGACTGCCGAGGCTCAGAAAATAGCACAAAACAAAAGTAAGATTGTCCGTAGAGGCTCATCAAAATAGCACAAAACAAAGGTAAGATTGTCCGTAGAGGCTCATCAAAATAGCACAAAACAAGGGTAAGCTTTGTCAAAGAGTAGTAAATAATGAAGATATGGTTATTATGGAAAATAGTGGAAAATAAAAGTTCAGTTGATAGCAAAAGCACAAAACAAAGGTTAAAGAATGGGTGGACTTAACGCCCTATTTGGATCTTTTTGAGACTACTCTAACAAGTTAAAAATAAATAAAATCCAAAATATATTACAACTACTACATGGTTATTTTATCTAGAACATATGTACAAAAGCAATGCCTTATTGCCAAGAATCAAAATTGAAACAAGGATACATTAGTGTCGTCTTCCGGAATTTGACATGTACCCGGAGTGGTTTTTAGGTTGCGCTATCAGTATTAATAGGAGGCGGGGCTATCGATTGGTGTCATCATGGTCATTGTTGACATTTCTTTCTCTCTAGAAATTCGAATACATGTTTGGAATATTACAGCGATGTCATTATGATTTTTTTTTTTAAATATGAGGACACGCAAAATTAAAACAACATTTAATGTGCTAAATTCTGAGAACGGCACCAAACATAGTGATTTAAATCTAGGTCAGGTTGAAGAATACAATGTAACTGTTTCCACGAGTACACTCGCAGGTGAACATCACGTTATGAATTGTAATTTTTAACAGGTCAATCGAAGTCGTAATAATGGAAGCGAGAAGTTTGTTTGGAACGTGTTTTTTTTTGTTAAATTAAGTGTGAGTGCACGTTTGTCGGCTCTTCTCCTTTTCATATGACATTATTTTGTTCAATATACAACTACAGTTTACGTAAGAACAGCCGACAAACATGCGCTGACTATGTATTCAGACGATGAAAAATGTGTGACCCTAATTATCTATTGATATTCAACAAATCTTCAGGCACCATGCCATCGATATTTATTTAGTTTACCTCGAAAAGAGCATTTTAAATTCACATCCGTACCATAAATACACAGTAAAGATATCAGGGGTTTATATGATGAAAAAAATTAACATTTTATGGAACTTAAATTTGCAGCATTTTTTCTGGCTAGTTAAGTCCACCCATTCTTTTGTACAGAAATAAGCACACTGATCAAATCTAGCTGTTTTCACTGAATAGCTCAACTAGGTAAGAATTTAGCATGCATTACATTACATACATGTGCATTGTTCATAATATTTTGTAATTTGTTGTATTTATGTAAATGCTGCCATAAGATTAAGATTACATACAGGCATTCTCAGTCTCAGTTCATTAACTAATGATTGCCCTTTGTTGGGCAAGTACACCTCATTAGAAAAGCTTCAAATTCTTCCAAATAAAACAGACTTTACTGAAATATTTGATCTTATATGTTTTCAAATAGACGAGTGGTTGACTGATGGCCTGATGAAGAAGATTGAGGCTAATGATGCGCTGTTTAAGAAGCTGGGAGATCCCCGGTATGTGGAGGCCGTCAATCACTTCCAGACAGACCCAGTCAGAGCCATGGAGCAGTACAAAGACAACAAGGAAATCCAGGAATTCCTCACCTCATTCTGCAAAGTCATGGGTAAATTATTATCACAGGGAATCATGGGTAAATTATTATCACAGGGAATCATGGGTAAATTATTACCACAGGGAGTCATTGGTAAAATATTACCACAGGAAGTCATGGATAAATTATTATCACAGAGAGTCATGGGTAAATTATTACCACAGGGAGTCATAAACTCATGGGTAAATTAATATCACAGGGAATCATGGGTCAATTACAACAGAGTGCCATTTAAAATTTATTGAAAAGAGGGTCAAACAATAACCAGGATCTTTGTATCGATTCATTTAAAGGAAATTTGCTCCTTATTGGTGATAGTGTAACTACAGTATATATCCAGCTGAAAAACACATTGTTTCTGTAATATGTAAATGACTTTAAAATCAAATGTTTTAAAAGAAATTATTGAATTATATCTTGCCTTCATAATAATGTCTATTTATAGCATTTTTATACAGAGTATAAGAATTGAAGAATTAAGTCAAGAAAAAAGAGAAGCTGAATACATTGAAAGTAAATGAACATGATGTAAGGGACATAACTCTTCAATATGTTTCCTTGAAGGTGAACATTTTACTGGCCTGGCTAATCAACAAGACAAAGCAGCCAAACCCAGTAAACCAGCTCCTCCACCCAGTAAAATTGTGGAGCTCAACTCAGACTCGGAAGTCAACAGGGCAAAGACTACACCCTCCCACACCGTCAACCCTAACAGGTCAGAGACTGTGTACACAAGGTCACCGGCAGAGGGCGCTGATCTGTCAGTCAGGAGCTCCACCAATCCTAACCAGGCTACTGCAGAGGATGAGAGGAGAATGCAGGAGATTCTAGCCAATCCAGAGATCCGTAACATTCTTATGGATCCACAGATAATGAATCTGATTGAGACTCTGAAGTTTAATCCTGATGAAGGAGCCAGGTATGAAACTATTTTAATATTGATTTATTGATTATTTTTATTTTATACTCCTGCTTGAATGTATTTTACAAATATTTAACATGAACATCTTGAAAAGCTCCTTATGCACTTTGCAATATGACAAAACTTTCATAAAATCTTTTATTGCATAGCTTCATACATCTCTTACTGTATGTTTTATCAGACACATACAATCAAAATGTAATTTGAATTTACCACTGGCCTTCCCATCAACATACAAGTATACACTCAATCCTTTCTATAATATTGATAGGTATTGTCATTTCTTATCAGGAAATCAATCCTTCTATTCCATCACTTTATATCAACCAAATTTATACATAAATGCTTTTAATTATTGATTATGATCAAAAACATAATGATAATTAATATCTGTGGTCCAAAATTACTGTAAGTCTAGAAATTTTTACGTCGGTTTTATTTTGCAAATTCAAGTCAAAATGCTATTGATTAATTTTTGCGTTTCAAGATTTTATGAATGACCACTGCTTTGTTTACATTTTCTTATTGGTGATTCATTCTTGATAAAATATTTTTGCAAATGCATTGAACTTGCAAATTTGCTAAAAATTTACCTACACCAGTAAAAATTTCCAGATTTACGGTATTGAATTCAAATACATTAATGTATTTAAAGATTTAAACTTACCTCGAATATTAATAACAAATAGATGTTAAATTATGACAACATAATCATGATAAATCTGTTCTTTGTTTAAATGTTTTTGTCCAGTTTTAAATGTGTACTTGCAGGATTCTACAAAACTCTGACCTTGAATTGAGAGGGAAAGTCAACAAGTTAGTAGAGTGTGGACTTCTGCAGTTCCAGGGCTAGAGAGAGAGAGAGAGAGAGAGAGAGAGAGAGAGAGAGAGAGAGAGAGAGATTCAATCTAATAATTTACTGTTTGCTCCATCTAGCTTGTGCAACACAAGATGGATCAGAGGATCTGATTTTGATCAAATTGGAGAGAATGTTATAAATGGTAAATGATATTAATGTACACCACAAAAGATGAATTAATGCTACTGTTGTTTATCTGACTTGTGAACAAACTATTTTTTATGCATACTGTAATATTTATGTTTAATATTTTATTTATTTACAAAGAGGATCAGAGTTTTTTGATTTACCTGACATTATTATTTGCAGAGAACATGTAGAAATATGTGATTTCTTTTGTAATTTTCGACTATATTTTATCTCAAAAGTTTTCATATATGCAGCCAGGTAATATGTTTTAAATACCCAGTAATTATAGCTATGTTTTATTTGTTCATTCAACATTCATTTGATTTTTTTATACAGTTTATTTCTTTATTCATTGGACTTAAAACATCACGTAAAATTAGTTTTTGTATGAAAAACTGATGTAGTATAAGGCAGAAAGAGTTATTGTTCTTTAGGCATATGATTCCGTCCAGTTGACATTTCACCAGATTCTGATTAAACAATTTTTCTTTTGCAATCACTTGTATTATCTCTGGTACATGCATCATAAGATCCAGATGTAAAAAATATTTTGTTTGAGTTATGTATTAAAGTGGGCTATTTACTGAATCCATCAAATGTTGCAGCAGAATCGCTCTGCACATTTTGTAAAAAAAAAAATCTGAAACGTTTAAAGGAGAATGACAACATTTCGAAGCTTTTAAACACTTTTATTTTAAAAACTTAAATACATCAAGTTAATTAAAAGAACTGTGGGGAAAGACTGATGGGTTAAAGTATGTGAGATGCTGAAAAGACAGTCCGTGATTACAAGGGGAATAACTCTGCTCACAACAGATTTCCTCAAAGTCGTTAAAAGTCTGAAATTCCTGGATATTGAACGAATCATTTAAGTCTGTTATGTGGGGAATACTTGTATCTGTTTCACAGATGTAGGTTTCGTTATGGAGGGACTGATCACGTGATATCACCTGTCGAGGACTGGATGACGAGACAGGCTTGTCCAGTCGCCAGGGGGCGTGAGAGCACGTGGGTCCTGTGTTTGTGGGTCTTTCCCTCAGACCAACAGGGCGGAGCGGTAGATAGGGGCCATTATTTACAGCATTCCAATTAACCTGAAAACAAATAACAGTCATAAATCAAAGAATCGCTTGTATGATATCTACACTTTTTTCATTGTTTATTTTATTCGAAATATCTATTAATTTAAGATAATTTTTTTCCCCGAATCCTGGAGGGTGATTCTCTCCTACTCTCCCTGCTCTTTCTTATATTACCAGAGCTTGTCTGTTTAATTTGCACTTTGAAATCAATATTAAATAATAATTTCAATGCTTCCAAAAATTACAAATTGAACAGAAAATTTTAGAAAATCTCTAATTCTATTTCTTCTTTCTTTCTATTTTTTCTTTCTTTCTTATTTATTCTTTAATTTATTATTTAGAGTATTTTTAGGGGAAAAATAATATTCTGAATTATTTTACCTGAGGAGCTTGGACTACGAAGTTCTCTTTCATCCCTGAGGACTGTACATCCCGGCAATAATCCACAAAATCCCTGTACCCCAGAACTCGACACAGATATTCTATATACCCGATAGCATTAGTCAGAACCTCCATCTTAGAAATTCTAACTTCAGGGTCCTGGCCACACGACGGAAGTTTTCTACGGAGTCTCTTGAAACCTTCGTTCACCGCCCGTATCCTATTCCGTTCTCGTCTGTTTCGTCTTTCTACAAATTCGGAAGGTCTCTGTGCATGCGGTATATGCTTGCGCTTTCTTTTAGATTTTCGGGTAACATTTTGATTTTCTGATATGCACATATTTGCCGTTATTGTATTGCAGTACATTGTAACAACTAATCGTGTAGATCTAAACAAAACGAAGGAAGTGTTGAGGACTTGGGTAGAACGAGATATATGTATACTTTTTCTTGAGAAATTTATTAGTGTCATCGTTGATTCTCTAAGTATTTTACAGAATGCAGAGTCGGTGTCTTGGAGAGATAATTGTAGAACCGACCAGTTCCTGGGAATCTTTTACTATTCTCTACCTGTCAGCGCTTAATCGCTAATCGTTATAACAAATCGGGGCCCAGTGCGCTTCCCTGGCGCCGATATTGCACGGCGCGAAATTAACCCGCGGCCACGATTTCTCTCGCCCTATCCATGCTGGAGGTGTCGGTCCGTTAAATTTGTATCTATGTGTATAAGAATAAAGGCGATGAAGTGGAATTGTACAGCTAATTGAATGAAATTACCGTTGATTTGGTATTTTACATCATAAAATTAAGAAAATTGGAAAATTTGGCTTCAGTCGTTAAATATCCAATAACATCGACCCAAGTAACAGACTACAAGCATGTGTTGATTAATTTTTTTTTTTTTCATGATCGAGTTCGATATATCCTTAAAAATGGAAAACCTTCCTTTATTTCTGGGGACTCTCAATATCCGCGGATAAATAAATTTAAATAAATAAAAATATTTCATTAAAATTAATAATTAAATAAATTTCCTCTAAGGCTTCTGTTCTTCGGAATTTGAATGTAGAAAGTGTATTATGTGGACTTTTCATCGGACACGATTGACGATGACTTCCGTTTTATACTGCAATGTTTTTTTTAAATTACCAGATGATTAAGAAACTCGGTGTTTGGAAATGTTTCACTAATATTACCTTCCAGAATATGAAGTATTTGACATTTTTCTTTTATATACTCTCGCATGGCTTTATGCTATTGTAACATTATGCCTTTAATTATTGATAATTACAATATGTAAATGAATTTTGATAAGTCGTATGGTGCCAAAAAAAAAACTTGATTAGGAGGGGGCACACGTCCCCTCCCCCTTTGTTATTACATACGAAGTGATTAAATCAAATGAAGATCAGAGTTTAAATTAAAATATTGGGGTTTTTTTGGCGACGATTGGATGGTTCGCTACCAAATCTTCATGTAAAAGTTATGAAAAACTCAAGTATGTATTACTTTTAATAATAGGCCTTTTCATAAATTCAACTAATTAATAAGGAATTTCGGAAACTTAAATCTGGAATGGACTTTACATTGGTGTTATTCACGTGTATATCGACCTGTAGAGGATGGGTAGTTGGTTTTTGTTTTGTTTGTTTGTTTTGTTTGTTTGTTTGTTTGTTGGTTTTTTTTAATCTTTATCTACATTTGTGTCAGAATTATATATGTGTACACAAATTGTATACATGGTGCACATGGCGTGTTCCCTTCTGTACCTAACCTACACTGTGGATTTATTTGATTTTGTGGTTGCTCAACATTCCTCTAAAATTCGTGGGTACCCTTCATCCCAGAACTAACACATTCCATGAACTTTGTTTTTGAGGGTTTGTTGATATGTCATTTCGTAGACATGTGTGAATTAACGAAAAATCGTTCCCTAGAAGTATATGTACATATGTATACAATCCTCCGAAAATTTATTGGTACCTAGAAAGTATGAAGTGAAAGTAAACTTTAGATATAAATTAGAAATTGTTAGCATTGAATTCAGGTGAGATGCCAAGGAAATTATCTATTTACAATCAATTATTTAGTCTACGTTATGTTACCTGAACAAATATTTCTAAGTATTGTTTTGAATACGATAATTGCATGCCATTGAAATCGAAAATTTAACGTTTTCTTTCTTTTTTTTTTTTTTAATTTAATTCATTATAATCAAATTGTTCTTCCCGGGTTCATAAGAATTTTATTAAACAATTTTATCAGTAAATAAAAAACGAATTAAGTGGAAAAACAGAGAAATAAGAAAGAAATCCCAGTTCATTACAATGATACGTGCTTCAGGAAAGATGTATCGTACCTGTCAACGACACGTCAAAAATCGTGCCACGGCTTCACTTAGAAGTCGGTAGTAGACCTAAATTCCTGGCCGTGTCGATTGTCAACTTTATAGTTTGAATATTAGATTGCACTTTGTGACATACACTGTACATGTATTTGATTATTAAAAATTTATTATAATGAGATTTTTATTTGTGTTGTGATTTCACTACTCTTTCGTTTAAATTGAAAAAAAAAATCTAAGGAAATTAAGAAATAAAATAAATTAAAAATAAAAACTACTGAGGAAAAACTATTTGAAAATTAATTTTCTTAAATGATATAAAAATTAACAAATATATTTTTTAGATAATTCACATCTTAATTAAATGTTTTGCGTTGTTTATATCCCAATGCAAAATTTGTACAGTAAGCTAGAGAGAGAGAGAGAGAGAGAGCATGTACTTACAGAAGTTTGAAACATTACTTATACTTACATGTATACGGTATATTATGTTAGTTTAAGTCCATTGAAGTATCACTAATTTGACTTTAAAAATAATAAAAACGTCGACTTTGTTCTCATTATGCACAGATCATCCTGTATCCAATCTTTTGATATACCGTAATACTTGCGTATGTAAAAAAAAAAAAAGAAATCATGCCAAGGAAACTGCAGTATAACTTTTAATTTGAAATTATGATATGACAAAGAAAAAAACCCAGAAAAAATACAGTTTCAGTGTATAATTTATATACATGTACTTAAATCTGTAATCGTCATCCACGTAATTGAGAAACACACAACACATAAAAATGCATAAAATCTTCATTATGTCGATTTATGTGATAAATCACAACAAAAATCTGATTTTCTGATTGACATTCGTCATAATTCATGAACTTTGACCCGGAGCAATGGCGAAGGAATAACATATTCAGTGATAAAATTTTAATGCTTCTTGCTGCAGTTTTATACGTTTCCTCCTTAACAAAAATAAAAAAAAATACGAACGTTTACTCTGTAGCTTACTATGACAAAAGAATTTACTAAAAATTTTACATTATTGATTAAGGTATGTTAACATTAATTTGTTTTGTTTGAAGCAACTGAATAATTCACTACATTTGATAATTTTTTTTCAAAACCTTAAAAAATAATTGCTGCAGATCTGTAGCTCAATTGCTGGTCTGAAAAAAGGATGGGCGACCAGAGAGCTACAGTGCCACACGCTGAAAAAGTTTATATTGATTGCGCACAAAAAGTGCGCAAATTCTTCACTTTTTTCACCGAAGTTTTCCAAAAAAATACTGACCATGTATTTCAAACATATTCTTTTCTTACTTTCACAATAAATCTGTATGTACAAGTCATGCTCGAAGAGCATTGGGTCAAGTTACCTTGCAATCTAATATTGAAGTATGAATAAACGAGATTTTCTACGGTCATATTTTTAGGACCAAAAGGGCCGTAAAAACGTTTTGGAAAATTAAATATCTTGTTGTGAAAGTGGTAAAAGAATATGTTAGGATCATACAGCTATTAAGAATTTGAAATGGTGGCATAAATAAACGGAGAAATAAATCGAGGAACACCGCTCCTTTTTGTGCGCAATAAAGATACATGCGCATTTTTTCAATGGGTGGCACTGTTGCTCTCTTATCCACCCTATTTTTTTTAAACTAGCAAGCTACATTTAAAGATCTACAGCTAAAGATATACATGCTTGCTTGCATATACATGTATAAATACATGTTTAATTATATAAACAATTTCAATGCAGTTATCAGATAGCAAGACATAGTTGTGCCATCGTTGGCCCAATTTTTTTTCAAACGTTGACCCACTGTTGGTAATCTTACGTTGGCCTACGGTAATTTTGTTCATCGGCCAAACGTTGGTCCAACATGTTGGCATATTATTGGGCCAATTTAGGTATAATGTATGCTAACTAACAGCCAATCTAAGTAACTGGTTGGTTAGGTTGGCCCAACGTTGGTCCTATGTTGAAATGTCAGATGGCATATTGTTGGGCCAACGTAGTTTTAGTGTATGCAAGCTAACAGCCAACCTTAACAACTGGTTGGTTAGGATGGCCCAATGTTGACCCTTTATTACAATGTCAGATGGCAAATTGTTGGGACAACGTAGTTACTACTACCAACTCGATAATACTATCTCTTTGAATTACAAACTTGGGCCAACGCTGGGCCAACATCAACATCCCTCCTTCTTTGGAAAGTAAAGTGAATGGGAGTTGCTAACGTTAGACCAACGTTGGGCCAACATAGGAATTCTGTCATGGTCGAGAAGGTTAGCATGGTAACATTGATCCAACGTTGACCCAACGTTGTTCCCCCCAACGCCAACAATACAACCTTTTGCCGATGTTGGCCTAGCATAGTCATGCTATCTGGGTTATAGTCATTCTAAAATTTAGAAAAAGAAAAAAATATTAGCAAGGTACATTTTGTATTTGAAATATGCTGTTGAGATAACGATCAGTATTCGAGCTCAAATGTCCCTTAAACATTACAAAATTGTAGCAGTACAAAAAACGGACCTCTAAAACACCAGGTGGGATCAGGTGCCATGGAGGAGAGAACATCCCCTGCCAACTGATCACATCCGTCGTGTGCTCCTTGTCATGATCGAGAGTAGAACTGGTCAGTTTTTAGAACGTGTTTCTTATATCCTTTTGATTCTCAATAAAATATGTTCATAACAAATAGCGGAAAGAAATCCGTAGACAACTACGTGATAAAATAATGACAGACCAATCAGTATAAAAAAAATCGAGCATTCAACTTCATGATAAAGTGAATTTGCTGATAAGGCCAATGTATCGACCATAGAATTTATGAAATGATGACTTTAGACGACACTGTGATATTATTGGTATGAAAAACGTCAATCAGCATTCAACTTCATGATAAAGTGAAACTGCTGACAAGGTCATTTTATCGACCATAGAATTTAAGTAATGATGACTTGAGACAAGACTGTTGATATGTTTACTT